AAAATATCAGAAAAAAAGTTTAAACACAAAGGAGTGATGGTCAATGAAATAAGCAGACCACCTCTTTCCTATGGTGTGATAACATATGATTTTTTTAAAAAATAGCTTTATTCAGCAGAGGAAAAAATTCTGTATTTCCACTTTATCCCAGCCAAGTAGGAACCCATCTATAACATGTTTTTACCTAGGTTTGACCTTGAATGACAAAATATGACTGAGTTCTTCTTATTGGAAATTGAATATATCTGCTGACTATTTTGTCAAAGAAAAAAATGTATTCTTTTACTCAGCATAATGTTGTTGGACCTGTTATGAGATATGCCAAATTCTAACAATTTTCAGAGTAATTCAGAGACTAAAACTTTGCCAGGAAAATTCTAATACACAAGACATTTTTTTAAAATTATCCATTTAAGTGCCCACGTCATCCCTTTTGTTGTTTTTGTAGACACAATCCAAGCAGATTGCATTTTCCCATCTGGGGTTCCTAAACCATTTGAATATTAAGAATAGTTGGATCCAGGCAAACAAAAATATTTAACGAACAGCATATGGGCACTGACCAATCAGAACACAGCATGAGTTTTGCTATGCTGTGAGTTCCACCACCACCTCCCCTCTTGGAAGAAGGGACAAAGAATGCCTCCCACATCCCCCCCCAGGAGAGAGGCACTTTAATGAGACACTCAGAGGGCTAAATATTTGTTCTCTGGAGCATTAGGGACACTGTGGACTGCTGTCTGGAAAATCTAAGATGCAGGAGACAGGCTGACTAATTTCTTTGACAGCTGAGGGAAAGGGAGCTGGCAACATTGAGATTGGCCAGAACACCCAGAGTTTATCAGGGAAAAGGAAGAGAAACTCATGGACCAGATATTGCCCCTCATTAGAGGGAGCCAGTGTCAAGGTCATCTTAGGTCCTGTCCCAGAGGGCCACTTGGAAGGATAAACAACTCAGTGGAGGGAAGCTGTAGGTATTGCCAGATTCTGAGGAAAAAATAAGGAACTAATAAGGAACTAACTGATTAAGATGCATTCATCTTAATCAAGGGAACTACAGGTAGAGATCTGTATCAGTGAGAGCAATTACCAACCATGAAAGTGTCAATGAAAGAATCAATTATTAAAAACTGCAGTCAGACCTAGAAAGTACTAACTAGTTTCATATAGTACCAATCAAGGAAGACCTTTTCTTACTTCCTTCATCTCTCCAATCCCTTGCACTCCAAACTCTGGAGGGCCAAGACCTCCACTTAATGAAATAAGGGAAAAGAAATAAAAGCAAAGGAAGGTAAGGCAAGAAGTTCACTATAACATTCTCTCCAACTGCTGGTCTTTCCCACCCACAGCTATGGAAGTGGTGAAAGGCCTCATCCTTAAATCAATTCCACAGTTTGAGCATTACATTGGACTGGACATTTTAATTACAGACCCGAGGGCTTTATCTAAGAGTGTAGAGAAAAGTCATGAGATGGCCCAAATTTTTGCCTGGGGCAGAACAAAATTTTTTAAAAAGGAGAAGAAAACACAAGAAGCAAAAATAAAATTGCTTTATAATTACATGTCACTCTTCATCCTTCTTTAATGGACCAGTACAAAACCCACCTTTCTTGGAGATGATGTTCTCATGCAGGAAACAAAAGTAAGAAAGCAATTAGTTATATAATAACAGGTAGTGATAGGGAATGAAGAAAAATAATACAGGGTTAGGAGATACAGAGGGGAGAGGGGAGAGGTGCTGTTTTGCACAGGGAAGCCAGGGAAGGCATTTAAACAGAGACATAAAGTGAGAAAGCCAGCCTTAAGAAGATCTATGGGAGGATGATCCAGGCAGAAAAAAAAATAGCAACTGCAAAATGCAGAGGCAAACATGAGATTGGTGGTCTGAAGATAAAATACATACATACATACATATATACACACATAATACATAGAAGGCTATATGGCTAGAATGGAGGGAATAGAGAGAGAAGGGTAGGTCATGACTTTAAAAAATTCACTAGGAGTCTTATCATATACAGTCATGAAAAGGGAATTGGACTTGAAGTGCAATGCAAAACCACTGGAGGGCTGATTTGCATTCTAAAGTGATTACCTTGGTTGCTATGTACAGAATGGATGGTAGGCCACTGGGAATGGAGACTCGGTGACCAGTGACTAAATTGTTGAGGCAGCTACTTCCAAATCACCGAGGATACTTACTGAAAGGGCAGATTACTAAATCCCATCCATCCCCAAAACCTACTGGTTGAGAATCTTGTGGGAAGAAGGCAAAGAATGCTATTTTTAGCTGATTCTCCAGGAGACTGTCTCATGCTGTCAGAATCAGGAATCACCAACTGTATATTACACAGTGACCACTTCATGAGCACTCGCAAGAGAACTTTTGCTCAGTATCAGACTTATGCTCTCTGTGAAATGTGAATGCTTTTATCTTGCCTCTTTGCTTTAACCACACTTCGTCCATCATTAACAATGGTGCAGGATTTAATGGTTAAAATTTTTTTGCTTCCAACTTTAAATTGAGCTCAATATTACTATAAACACTACTTTCATTTTCCCTTTACATTTACATTTTTTTATTTTTTAGTATTTAAGAATTAAACTGCCACCTCAGTAGTCTTTAGAGCAATATAATGCACCATATATATATTTTAGACTTATGTCCATTAGAGCTTCAAAGTTTTCTCTGATATAAAGCAGGAATTCACGTTATTTTTTGCCTTAAAGAAAGAAACACTAACAGTAACTTTATCATCTTTCTACACACCAATGTCATTCAAACAATAACTGGATGAGTTCACACTTAATACCATTTGAAAATTTTGTCGCTACAACACATTCATCTGATTTACTTTGCTGAATAACATATTTCCTAAACCTAACTGAAAAGAAATCATTTTTAAAAGGCTTCTTTTAACATGTGAAATTTTATCATGATACCGACGTTTTTCATCTAATACATCGTCTAAGTGGTTTCATATCATTCAACTCTAGTGAATGTCAATAAAAACCAGGAGAGCTCTTTACAGATAGTTAAGAAGTCATAAAGTGAATTTGGCTATTTTCTTATTACATAAAATAAAAAATGGCATTGTATTTTAATGTTAATATTTCAACAGTTCCTAAACAGAGGCAAGAAAGGGAATCAAGTGTGCACCAGTCCAAGTACCTACAATAATATAATAAAAGCATTTACCACCAACATTTCACACTATCACACTCCATGGTTCTAGTAAGGCTTTCTCACTATAAATATTGCATTAACACTGGACTCTCAAATTGCTAGGTGTGAAAAATCACTTAAAAAAAAAGGCTATTCGTTATTTTAGGCTGGCCAAGGTTAAAATGGCCATTTATATTATTCCTAACTTCAGCTCTAAGCTCAGAGATGTGTTTGGATCTGATAAGCCAAGACAAGAATTCTTCTTGTACCTGACAGAATAAAATGATAAAATTAACAATCAGTTAATGTCTGCAAAAAGAAATATCTTATAAATTTATATATTATAAACTATACAGTAAATAATATCTGCATACTACACATTTCATGTTTATATTATGCACCATTTAAGGAGGAAGAAAAACTTCATGATGGTTTATTCAAATGATATATCATAATACCCTAAGTATGTCAATTCATACACATAAATTCTGTATAAAGTATAAGTGGCCATCTTAGCTACAATGTAATAATCCCTCATAATGCAAAAGCTGATTCTAAAGGCACGTTATAAAGCAGTGAAATTCATATAATTTAGTCATTACTTTTATCTTCTCCCATACAAAGTCATCTAGTAGTCTTCACTGTTAACTTCATGCTAAAATGTTCCAAGTTTAGATTGCTTTACCAATAAAAGAAATAGGAAAGAATTAATAGTTTTTAATTTCAAGTTAAAGGAAAAACTCTTAACACACAATAATGAAAACCAAGCAAGTGTGTTTTCGACACTGTATGAATGCCTTTCATTAATACATTACTCAAATTCCTCCATGGCATTAAAATTGTAGTTTAAAACTCAATAAACAAGAAACCACATAAGAAAAGGATCAAACTCTACCATGAAATGAAGAACTATAATAAAAGTCTTTTCAGCCCTAAATATTTAGTTTAAGACAATGAGCAGAGTAGGACACACTTCATCTAAATGACACCATTTGAACACTGCTATAAAATAACGTTACTTAAGACTAATAAATGTGGTGCATTATGTGATTCCAACCATTCTGTTAAAAAAAGAAAAAGAAAAAAGCAAGCATTAACAAGTAAGAGCATCCCCACCAGCTTGGAGCCTACAGAATCAATTACTTTGGCCATATCTTTCCGAATGATTTAGTAATGCCTTTTAACATTACAAACATAAATCTATCATAGTACTGAAATTCCAGTGTATTGTGGTGCTTCTGGGGCTGCCTAAAAATGAAAAGGCATCCAAGTGAAATGCATTATATACTTATTATACCTCAAAATTTTAGTTCTTAAAATGTGTGGTAATTCTCTACTATTTAACTGTGTGCCTTACAATGCAGATTTTTATTTCTAAGATTTTTATTGTACTTTGGAAAATTAGTGGTAAAACATGGTTTTAAAAAACAGCATGTGACTATGCTTAAATGCACATAAAAATAGCATTTTTACAACTACGTTGAAATTGAATCCTTTTACACAGATTAACAAAATGTATCACAAAAAAACTAAAAATACAACACTTTTGAAACTGGAACAATGCAAATTTATTTCAGGAAATATTACAAAAGGTCATCTCTGGTCAATTTACCACACTAGGGAAACAAAGTTGTTAAAATACGGCTGTGCTCAAGTGAGCCTCTTATCCACACTACAGTATAGAACTTAAAACTATTTTAAGAAATAAGATCATAAGTGTGTTATAGCTATCTCTGTAAGAGGTGCTTTTCCTTCCCAAAACAAAGTTTAATTAAAAAGTTGACTGTATTTAAATTTTTCTTCCTCATCAGCTGTTCAGTTGAAAATACTATTATCATTGTTGATATACTCTATATCTTGTCTGATCTAAATAATGTGATCCAGGAAATAGGGATGAAGAAGTTGGGCCCTGTATTGGTGGATGAGGTGGCAGTCCTTTCAATACAGGCCATATACCAAGACTTAATCCACCTGTTTGTGTAAATGGAGGGCTCAGAGTTTCTTGATCTTCAATAAACTGGGGTAAAGAGTCGGGATTAGAATGGTTAAGAGGAAATTCACTTACATATGGATCACTATTTTGAGATAGGAGAGATCCTGGAGGAGAAGAATTCACATAAGGTGGCACCTGGGCAATAATATATCTAGGGGAAGAGATTATTGGTGATGGATCAGAGCTCATGGATAGAGGTGATACTTGGCTACAAACACAGTGAGGAGTACCTGTGTCCTGGGGAGAATATGGCATCGGATGATTTACTGGTGGTAGAGAAGATGGAGGTGGTGCATAATGTTGCTTTGGAAGCATCAAATGATGAGGGTACGATACCACTGGATGACTCTGATATTCAGGATGATGGTGAGCAGGTGGTGGAGCAGGAGGTGACAGCTCTTTAGGACCAGAATTTTCGTTTTCCTGAGTAGGGACAATAATTAAATTGCTGCGTGTTCTCACTGAAATACAAATGATTTCCTGATGGACCGAAGGAGATGGAAGTGGAGACAATTCTGCTGGAGGCTCACGAATATCCACACATGGCTAACTAGTGCTTGTGTGGTACATGTTGCACAGGAGGTGGTGGCATCACGGTGGGCTGCTCTGGTGGAATATGGCTTATATGGTCCTTGTCTAGCAGCATTTCAGGGATTTCAGAGCTTTCAGTTGTTGGTAAAGCAATACAAGGATAAATTTTTTCAAGTGAAGCACAGGTAAATTTTCCAGCCATCTTATGGCGGTTGTTGATATGAACCTGTAAGTCTCTTTGAGACAAATATGTTTTCTTGCATCCCTGAAGAGTGCCACACATGAAGATAAAACCTCGTGTATGTGCCTCAATTCTCAGCACAGGACAACTATAGGTTGGACACATTTTATCTCTGCATAAATTAGCACAGTGATAGGAAAAAGCATGCTTGCACGGAATCATTCACCCATTGATTTTAACAGGCAGATCACATTTGTCACAGAAATGAACTGGTGAATCACCCTTTTCACCTATGCTGTGTATCTTAAAGTCCTCCCAAAGGCAGCCAGGAATTTTTTTTTTTTTTTTTTTTTCCTAACAGTCCACCTCCTTTACGGTCATATTGACCTTCTTCGTTATATTCACATTATTCTTCGCCTGCAGGCATCTCGTTCATAGTCCTTGGAGTTTGAGACACAGATTTGGCTTTGTTCACTTCCTCAGAAACGAGCTCTAAAGGAATTCCCCTGCGAACATGAAAGCCACCCAAAGATCCAGAACCATAAGTGCCTGGTAACCCTTCCTTAGTGCCGTCAGAACTCACATTCGGCTCACAGAGCTGATGGGAGCGGAAGTCAACTGCCAGCGGCACACGCGCACCACCTTCCCAAGCCCAGGAAGCGGAAATGTGATCAGAATTCTTTCCCCCACCCCCCCATGTGGCTTTGACCTTCAAAAGTTCCCTTATCCTCTTACCTGCCCTATCCTACCTACTAATCTGGTAAAGGATTTTGAGCAGGGGAAGAAAAAGCTTCAATGTTATGCTTGCTAAGACTGCTCTTCAGTGCTAAAAGAGAACGTGGGTGTTTTGTTTTGTTTTGTTTTGTTTTGTTTTGTTTGTTTTGTTTTGTTTTGTTTGTTTTGTTTTGTTTTGTTTGTTTTGTTTTGTTTTGTTTTGTTTTTTTAAACTCCAGGAAGGACCCGCAGAGCATTGACTTCTAGGACTGACATATTTTTATCCTACTGCATTTTTGTAAACTGCCTTAAATTCCTCACTGGTGTAAGATGGGTTGGTCTGTGTTTGTACATATGAGGGTACTTTTAAAAGTTCATGAAGAGATTCGTTATCTTTTAATTCCATTTTTCCACGAACTTTTTGAAGTCTCCTCCTATATGTACAGACACACAAAACACACACACACACCCCTTTAAGATTTTGTGATTTCATGATGCAATGAATTTAAAATCACCTTTGTCTGGAGGAACAGAGCTCTGCATTTATCTTATCAAATAAGAATCATGTAAAAAGTAGTGAATATGGTAACTTCACTGGGCTAGACATCTGTTCTAGCGTAACTTAAAGAACGGTTATGAGTATTTAGGCCAGGTTTCCCAGGTCTCACCCGCCTTTAAGTACAAACAAGATCACAAAAACAGCAACACACCATATTTTTCTGGCTCCACCCGCCCCCACAACTGTAGTACCTTTATACCCCAGGGGGGATCTCCTGAATGTGGAGACTTCCATCCCTTTGGCTATGTCAGCTGTCAAGTCCCCCCCCCCCAACAAAAACCATTGATTAATCAAAGCAAAGTGTTTTAGATTTAGTGCAGTATGGGAAAAGACTACCTTAACAGAATCTAAGTAGTGTCTCAGAAGCGGGGTGGCAGGGTAGGTTATTAGGGACTGGGCTGGGTGATTTTAGGGCAGGTTTTGCAAGGCAGGCATCTAATTTGGGTTCGGCAGATCTTGTGACATGATAGCTATAGATTGGTGGGCACAGGAAGGTGAGAATATTGAAGTGAGTTTTGATGGGAAAGATGTTATTGCTGTTAAGTAAACTCTTAGTTGTCTCATAATTTTATTTTTCAGGAAAAGGTACTTCCTGAAGCAAGTAGCTAAGTTTGCTTAGTCTCAGAATTGGTTAACAAAAGAACAGAAAACTATTCCCAGTTCCATTTTTGTTTTACACAGTGCCAGGGACTTATGTTGGTTTCAGTATTCAGTTACCATATAGCAGCAATCATTTTCCTTTGCTCTGGCTCTGGCTTGTTGGGTTGTTGATTCCTGGCTAAGCAATGGTGAAAACACAACAGTGTCCAGATAATCACCAAAGGCACCAGTGCCCGTCAATGCCCAGTCACTGCTGCCCTAGCAAAGACACAATAGCCATTGAAGGGGCTGCTGAGTCCAAGAAGATGAATAAACTTTCATTCCCTCTTTGATTTTGCTTTATTACATGGCATACAAAGTTCTTCAGGCTTAAACCCCCTAATAACTTAAAGAGATTTTTCTGAAATTGCTCTTTTAGTTTTTACTTTCTCTTAATTATTGCTCCACTGCCATGGACTCAGGCAGTACAAGCTCATGGTGGCTGGTTTAAACTTAAATACACAATGCCCCTTGCCTCTGACATCCTCCCCTAGTTCCTGAAGCTTTTCAGTATCCTAGCAATGCGTGCCTCTCTTAGGATTCATTCACTCACAGGAAGCAACTTCATTCTTCATGCGAATAAATTCCTTATGAGCCATCATATGGAGTCTCCAAACACACCTAACCTAGCTAAGCACTCAGGCCAATACACTTTTTTTCTCTCAAACTAGGCCTCCCCTTACATGTTTATTTAAATTTTAGATCATTTGAAATTTTGTTGTCTTTAAAAAGGCTGTATTTTTTCATAAGCCGAAGTGGTTCTTACAAATACATAGATGTTCTTTCCCTATTACAAACAGTGAACCAGAATTCTGGGCAAAAACTAAAATTTACAGCATTAAATCATATGTAAATGTTCCTGTTTTACAATTACAATTACTTGTTTTCCAGGCCCTTTATGAGAGTTCAGTATTTTTCTTTTAGTGATGTGCATATAATTCAAATACCATGAATACAAAGAGAAAAATCTGTCAAATATAATGTCCATAACTTATTTTCTCTTCTTTCCTTGAAGCAATGTTTTCTGTCAACACTGAGACATTTTCATAAGACAGAATTTTGTCCTTACACATGACCCTGAGTGAAAAAAGTCAGCTCTCTTTCTTAATTGGCTAAATTTGTTTTTGTTGCTCATTGGGTCTACTTTAAATTATTTTAAAAATAAATTATAAGTTCAGTTTTTGAGTAATGAAAGCATGCTTTACAATGAGACAAGTGATGTTAGCTTCTAGCCCACACACTCCACACCCAGGAACTGCCCTTGTTCAGCACTTCCAATATCTCTGCTTGGAGTATTTACTTGTTTATAGCTGAGAAGCCTAACCTGAAAGCCCTTAATAAATATTATTTGGTGAAATTGTTGATAAAATGAAGGGTATTTACCTTCCATTTATCCCCATCAGATTTAAGAAGCTATCTGGATACACTTGAAAAGATGCCTTTACAAATTGATTCTTATTTAGTGGCTTTAAACAAAAAATTAAATGGGCTTCCATTCACCTCCTGCTTTAGGGCATAGAGACTCTGTCCTTCATCATCATTGCTCTTAAAAGTTGCTAGACTTACATTCTGCTGACAAAAGGGAGATTCAGTGTTTGTCAGCCTGTAACAGTGGATTAGATAGAAAAAGGTCTGGGTTTGGAAATTTCAAAGAAATTGGACGTTTTGAAATTGCTTGGATTCATGGAAGCCTGCTAGAATCCAGCTGCCTTTTAAAAAAATATATCTAAATGGGGTTGACAATGAAGAATTACAGATTGCACAATGAAGGAATATCAATGTGCACAATTAATATCAGGAAACAGATTGAGATATCTCCATTTAAGCCACATGCCATCTGGCCCAGAAACACTCATTCTACCAGAGTGACACCAAAGGTCGGCGGGAGCAAGAGCCGTACATCCCACTGCCAGGCTCCTGGATTTTATTTCTCATTTAAGGGAATCTGATCTGTCATTCCTCCAGCTCCTGTGGGCTTTAAATTCACATAATCAACATATCACTGCCAGAAACTTAGTAATAGCTGAGGCAGTTTAAAGGTGAGTGGAGAATAATCGTGCTCCCAAGCCAGATGCCTTCAGTTCTTCAAAGAAATAAGTTAAGTCCATCTCAGGCTCCAAAAAGCAAGGCAATTGCCCTGCGTGAAGGAGACCTCACTTCTCCTCCCAAATGTGGTGGTAGCTGTGTTTTACGTCCTGGGAAGGCTAGTCCTTTGCAAAAGTTTAGAGCAGTGGTTCTCAAAATGTGCTTCACAGACCTCTGGGGATTCCCAAGGCCCTTTTCTGAGAGTCCTTAAGGTCAAAATTATTCCCGGAATAATACTAAGCTATTTGCCTTTTTTGCCATTTGACATTTGCGATGGTGTGCAAAAGTGATGGTGGGTAAAACTGCCTGAGTCAAGGAAATGGTACCAAACTATATTAGTAGCTGCAGTATTTTTTACTTCCACACAGTAAAAAGGAAATGCCAATTTTACTTAAGAATGTACTTGATGAATGTCTAAAATTTATTAGTTTTATTAAATTTCAACTCTTGAGTATACATCTTTTTCATATTTTGTGTTACAAAATGGAAAGTACGCCTAAAGCACTTTTGCAGCATACCAAAGTACAATGCTATCTCAAGGAAAAGCATGTATTCCAACATTTGAGCTGGAAGGTGAACTATCTGCTTTTTTTGTGGAACACTTTTTTTGGAACACTATTTTTATCTGAAAGAACAACTGACAGACTATGGATATTCAAAATTGGGTATTTGGCAGACATTTTCTCCAAAATGAACAAAGTTAGCCAATCACTTCAAAGAAAACAACTGACAGTATTTGTTGCCAAAGATAAAATTCAAGCTTTTGAATGAAAATTGGTATTTTGAAAATCTTGTATCTGCCGCCTTGTGTATGACAGCTTCCCAGCACTAAAGACTTATCTGATAAGATCAGGGGTGATTAATAATGAATGTGATTTTTTGAAATGGTATAATGAAATGTGTCAACATTTGGAAGCTCTGCATAACTCAGTGAACCAATATTTTCCAAATGCCCAATGCTTGATGTTAGAAAATCATGAATGATTAAAAGACCCATTTAAAATTAAGATAGAAATGAACTTTAGTGTAACAGAGTATGAAAATTTTATTGATATGTTTCAGATTCCATATTGCAGCTAACCTTTAATAGTTAATAATAGCATATTGTACATTTCAAAATCACTAAGGAGTAAATTTCAAATGTTCTTACCACAAAAAATGATAAGTATTTGAGGTGATGGACATGTTAATTAGCTTGATTTAATTATTACATATTGTGTTCATAAATCATAACATCACTTCATACCCCATAAATATATACAAAATAATTTTGTAAAAACTACCACTTGTTGAGTTTTGGTTTAGCTTCAAAGAAGAATATCCACAGTGATCTGAAATGCTATTAAAATGCCCCTTCTTTTTCTAGCAATGTAACTGTATAAACTTGACTTTTCCTCCTATATTTCACCAAATCAAATATTATAAGAGATCGAATGCAGAAATAGATGAGAATCCAGCTGTCTTCTATTAAATCAGACATTAAAGAGACTTGCAAAAAATTCAAACAGTGCTGCTCTTCTCACTAATATTTTTTC